TACATAATGGCGATCACTGTACTTGGGTTACTGGTTATGCATCAGTTTTAAAGTTAGCAAAGGAGTATACCAGTCAAATGAAATTGGTGGATAAAAAGTGAGAGAGACAACACTTCAGATACCTTCTATAGTAGATTTTATAGAAACAAAGAGTTTACTAATATGTAAACATCAAGTGCACATTCGAGAAAACAAAGAGGAATGAGTATAAGTCCCAGCTAATTCTCACTTCAATACCAAAGAGAGGCTCCTGTGTAGAAAGGCTTTTAAAAAAGTAGTTGCTAAGAAATGGTCAACAAGGCCCCTTGAGCAAAATATTAGGTTTAATAAGTGTTTTAGTTAGAGTTTTATTGTTGTGAAGAGACACCAAGACCAAGGCACCTTTTATAAAAGAAAGCATTTCATCGGGGCTGGCTTACAGTTTCAGAGGTTTGGTCCATTATCATCATGGAGGACACATGGCAGTGTGTAGTCAACTGAGGCGCTGGAAGAACGTAGACCTCTACATCCTGATCTGAAGGCAACCAGGGGACTAGATTCCACACCAGGGAGAGCTTGAACACTTGTCCTCAACGTCCACATGATAGATTTCCTCTCACAGGACCACACCTCCTAATATGCATATGTGGTATTCTTCATGCTTCGAGTTTGTGTGGCCCTTATTAGGTCACCTTCCTCAGGAATACAGAGGGAAATGACATTGCACATGGAAATATCCTTTATGAATATACATTTGTTCTACAAGAGAATTATTTTTAAGAGTTACTGTCTGTTTAGGAAGATTCTCCCTTGAGGTGTGACATTGGTACAGGGGTGATACACCCTCACCACCTATGACAGTTAGGAGAGATGGCACTGATGTCATGGGATATGCATATGCTTGGGTCTGAGGTGGAAATGCCAAATTCTAGTTTCAAAGCCATCCTTCTCAGTTTCCCCAAACAGCATGTGTTGACAGATGCGTATGTAATATTATCCATACCAAAAAGTCTTCATGAAACACGCAGGTGACAGCTCAGTGGACTTGGAACCCCGCCGTAGAGTCATGTTAGAACCTTAGTAACATCTAGACAGGGGCTGTCTGTGCTTCAGCCCACACAGATCCAGTTTAGGATGACACTGTTCTTTGGCATCCAAATGATTCCTTCAGCATCCGCAGACCGAGTGCATGTGATGCTATGGGAGTTGGGTTCTCACAGGCCATGTCTATCAAACCTGTTCTTGTCCTTCCTTGTCAGGTGCCATGTTCTCTCCTTTGGAATGGACAGGTTTCCACTGGTCCATGGGGTGTTGAGGGAGTAATCCTGTAAGCAGTTGGAGATTAGCAACTGATTGAATTAGACATTAAGAGACTTTGGGCTTTGACTGTCTTTGGACTATTAAAGTCTTTGGGCATGTTGAGAAATGAACTGTCTTTTTAAAAAACAGATGATAGTGAAACTCTCAGAGGCTTCCAGGTTAGAGATTATGGTGTATTTTAAGGTATTTGATTGTCAAAATCCAAGAAACTTATTTGATATTTCTGGTTTTGTTTTTTATCTTTTCTTCTTCTGCTGCTTCCGCTTCTGCTTCTTCTCTTTAGAAATAATTCTTTCTTCATCATGATTTTGAAGAACTGAGTTAAGTTCAAGGCAGATGCATTGACTTTCAAAATACTGTCACATAGAAACACTTGCAGATCAGAGAAGGGAAAGGAAATTGAGTAAGACAGATCAGATGTCTGCAGAGAGAATTCTCACAATGGGTAGTGGGCCAGTGGCCAGTGCATACACCAGAGTGATCTCAGGAGCTGTGACCCTCCATGTGTAATCAGCACAGGGAAAGTAACAACAACAACAGCAACAACAAAACATACCCAGAGGTGTATATGTACCTGTGTTTGTGAGCAGCCAGATGGAGACCAGAAAAATTCTTGTAGAGCTCCCACAAAAATGACTTTTCTTACAACGTTGGAAAGTTTTGACTTTGTGACCTATACCTTCTTTGTGTCCCTGGCCAACTTACCCCAGTCTATGGATCCCAATAGTCACATAAAAATATTTTTGAAGAGAAGGAATCTGATCCATGTATGTCTCATGCACAGTATCAGTACAGAGGGACAAGTATTATTTATCTGCAATACTGAGTATTAAGACAGAGGATACGTTAGAGTCAAGTGCTCTAACATAGGCTAAGTACTATAGAAAAGACAATAGAGAGAAGGAAAGAAATGTAAGAACCAGGTAAATAAAATACTCATTTCTAGGAACAGCTTCGCACAGACTTCTGGGATATGTAGTCCATGCTACTGTGACATCGTGAGGAGCCATCCAGGCAATCCCAATTTAGTTTTCGTTTTGTACAAGTGTGTCTTCCTCAAAGTTTTGCGAGAGTCCTTTGCGGCTGTACATTGCTGTTGTCTCAGGAAACAGCACAGTCTGGGGCTTTGTGCAAGCAGCGGGCGGATGGGGATGAGGGGAGTTGGTTGAAAGCGTCTCGGAGGGAGTGTACCCGGTTGGGGTGGGAGGGCAGAGAGGTGCTGGGATTTGTCGTTCCGCACTGTCTGGGTCACGTGAGGTTGCAGTTGTGAACTGGGAACAGGACGATTGAGATTGTGTGCTGGGTGATTGTTTCCCTAGGACACCGTGTAGTCGGAGTTTGCCTTGGGCTTCTGGGACACTGGAGCAGTCCGGTATTGCGGGAGTAGACGCCAGGATTGCAAGGTAATGATGATGAGAGGACTACTTGCACCTGAGGTAGTGCAGGGACCTCATTGAACAGCTTTCCTGGGAAGCACACTCCACTAGCTGCCCCTTCCTCACATGGACGCTGTCAGATTCCTCAGTCAGTACCTTTAGAGCAAATGGTGTTTCTGGTCCCCTCCACTCTGTACCCGGCCTATTGCAACGGTCTTGGTTGTGTTCATTTTATGTTCATTTTCTATGTCTGTTAAAGAATTAAGAGAGGAAAGAATTCAAGGCACAACAGGTGATAGGTGGAAAATTCTGGAACACTTCAGTGAGGTCTGGCAGGATCAGAGGCCACAAAAAATCTTTGACTATGGATGAGGAAACACATGGAGTGGACACACAGAGGGAACTCTGCAAAGCAGGGGAACCTGACACCTGGTTTCACCTTGAAGGCTGGGTTTCCTTAAACCTTTGATAGGTGTCCTGTCCCTAACTTAGGGTTGAGTAATTGTGAAAAAGACTCTATGTCTGCTTGGCACACTATGATTACATCAAGGTGACTTTGATCAGGCCTTGAACCTGAGAAAGGTTCTGAGCAGGTCCCTAGGAGGAGGTGAAAAGCTCACATGACCTTGTTTTAGGGGCCAGGCTTTTGTGTCAGGTCAGCAGGGTGAGGAGGAACTCACAGACCTGTGTGTATTCATGTGATTTCAAGTAAACAGACCTGTGATGGAAAAAAACCTTGAGCCTCCTCTGAGGCACATCCCTGTCATCTTCAAATTGCAGGGGGTAAGAGGATAGGACCATATGCTTGTTCCCTGCTTCATAGCCAATTCAAAGCTAGACCAGACTACCTGAGGCTGTGTCAGAAAACATTTAAACATATTTGGTGGACATGAGAAATACTTTGTGTGGTTTATTGCTTGTCTTCCTGTGAGCGCCATGGCAAATCCATGCTCGCTCTCAGCACTTTGGTGTCTTACAAACTGCATGTGCTTCCCTTCTGTTGGCCCATTCCTGGTGTGATGTCAACTTTGTTTTCACTAGCTTTGTCTTCATAAAGTCAGTATATTTTGGTGATTAAATGCTTGTTGGCACTTACTGTGAGAGGAGGAATTCTCTTTTTCTTGCTTGGATATTCTGCTTATTTGCAGTGAATATTCATTCCTTTTGGATAATAGTTTGTGTTAGATTCTGCCATGACCTGAGGATGGTTTCTTCTGGTCTCTCCTGACTCCTTCCAGTTTCCTCCTTTCATATCTATGCAGAGACTCCATGATTTCCTTTCTGCAGTTCTTGACTGATGCAGGCTACTGTGGTTTATATTCCTATGTCTTCTGCAGCTGCATCTGGCAAGACTGCCCATGTCCCTGCCTCAGAGGTTTACTATGTGCAGATGCTTCTTACAGTTAGCAGGAAGAAAACCACTTCCTCCACTGTCCCTCACATGAGTACTCAGTGGCTCTTGTCACTCTCCAATTTCCCCGGCTTTTGGCGGTCTCATATTTTAAAAAAAAGAGCGAGCAGAATATGTGGGTTTTCTTCACTCACTAGTAAAGGTGGGAATGTGGTCTGTTAGCTACAAAGATGTTCCAACACAGTTCAGTTGCTTTTCCTTTGAGGAATTAATGGGTGTTTTATTCACCAGATTTCTCTAGTATGCTTGTGATCTGAAGATGTCTTGGCCTCCCCTTTGCTGCTTCACCCTGTCCTTTATTAAAAGACACGTTCAGTGCCATTATTCTTATAGAGTATATGTTTCCACAACACTGCAAGCCTTGAGAGCATGGCTTCTCCTTTGTCTTAGTGCTGAGAACACCATGCAGTTCAGCCCCAGTCCTGTGAGTCTGACCTAAAAGTCTCTTCCCTAAGGACAAGTTTTCATAGTCCTGGAGGGTGATTTGCAAACTTCCAAGAGATAAAAGATAACCCAAAAATAGGACTGCCTGAACAATGATGACATTAATATACCTATTATGCTGTAGGTGGGAATCTCATATGACCTCATCCCTAAAGACCTCAACCTTAGCCTGAGTGTCCCTAAGAACTAATGAGAGGTGGAGAATTAGGTTGCCCTAAGGATGAAGCCATCACTGTTCATCTGGTGCAACAGGTCAGTCCTCAAAACATAGGTACAGGCAAACCTCAACAGAATCAGCTGTTCCTCTGTATGTAGTTATGCATATATATGTATATGTGTGATACATATATATGAGATACACACACACACACACACACACACATATGTACATATGATAATGATTAAGGAAGAAGATGCCGTATATTTAGGATGGAGTAACAGAGGAACATGAGGTGAGTTCGCACGAGGGGTCAAGGATGTAATTCTACTTTAATTGGACGATTTCTCAGAGAAACATACCAGTCTTGTCAGTTGTGATAATCTGGGTAAAACTGGAAATTATTTCAGCAGAGAGACCATATGGCTGCATTCATATGTTAGATAAAAAGGGTTGTAATTCCCGTCAGCCACCAACTTCAGGAAGCTGAGCCTGGGGTCACACTGGACACTGATAGGTGCTGTGGAACCGTGTGATGTAGGGAGATCTGTGTTCACAGTACTGTTGTCCGGATGCTGGACGTGTGCAAGCATCATGCAGTGTACATTTCAGAAGCCTGGAACACCGTGTTTGAGGAGATAAGCATTCAGAAGCTGAGAAAGACAACCCAAAGTTGACCTGTGAAATTATTACAGAATACCCCATTCATACCTAAATTGCTTGTAAATTTCATGTGGTAATAAAAGGAAAAATAATGTAGGACGGTTCTCATAGGCCATCTCGTGATTTTCCTCTATATGATGTTAAAAAACATAAATTCTTAAATTAAATATAATTGAAATAAGAAAATGGTATCATCAGCAAATATGTTTCTCAGCTCTTACCCATTAATACTCAGGTGTCACATGCTTCCTCCACTGCTCGCCTCAGACCATGGCTGGTTACACTGCATTCAAGGGGTTTATTGTGGCTCTTGTAATAGAGACTCAGTGGAAGGGGCCTTAAGCTTCTGCTGGCACTCCAGTCTCAGCCTCCCTAACAATGGGATTACAGGTATATGTCACCAAATCTTGCCTAGTTTTCAGTATTTGTGTAAAACGTCGTTGTAAAAAGCAATTCAAGTGAGAGGTGGTTCACCAGACATACCGGCTTACTGGTGAGAGACATAACACATAGTATGAAGCTAAAAGTCTACATCAGGCAAACCAAAAGAAAGCCCAGATTGTAAACCTGGATGTCCTGTCAGAATCCTAGTCTTGATTCTCAACAGCAACTAGTTTTGCCTTTTGGGTCTGTCATTTGTGGTCATGCATCAGAGCGCAGGGACAGGTGGGCACTTGCCTTTAACTGAGGAACACTGTTCTTTGTCCCTGTGTTGCCCAGGCCTACTGTGGCTGATGTGTACAACCTACAAATGTCAGGATTTGAGTAGTGTGTTTTCCTAACCCCATCTTATTTACCTCATGTTAAAACATGTAATAGTGAGACTAGACTATGCAAGATGGGACGAGAAGAACAAAGAGCCACAAAGCCTCACCAGGCTTGATATATTGTATTACGTTTCCAAATCCTTAATTCTTATAATGTCCAAGGACTCTCTTGGTGACTTCTCACCAGATGTGATTCTAAGGTTGACTATTAAACAAGATGATCTTTACACACTGGCTGGAGAGTTATCACCCTTGTTATCCAGCTTGTGATGTCTATGTTACAGTTAGGTTGACAGGGTCTACAACCTCACTGGAGATAAACCACTGGGTGTGTCTTTGAGAGGTCCTCTAGGCTAACTGAGGTGAACACCCACATTACATGTAGGCAGCCCCGCTCCATGTGTGTGCACTCTAGAGTGTATGAAGAGGCTCCGTGTGGTGCACCCTAGAGTGTATGAAGAGGCT